AGTTGTAGAATGTCATGAGTTGATCTTCCACTCCTGTCCTCCAGGAGAACCTGGGCCTGCCGTGTCCTCAGCGAGTCGTCCAGCTCCCTGAGATCTCCTGGGAACAGTACACCTCAGGACTCAGCGACTTTGAGAGGGAGTTCTGCGACAAGAAGCGCAAAACACGGCGTCTGAAGCTGATCTTTGACAAAGGCACGTACGACTTCAGGGCTCATGGAGGTGGACTGGTTGTTGTCGTCGTCACCACCGCTGCCTTGTTTCTAAAGTTATCGTTTCCCCATCCTCAGGTTTGCCGGCGAGACCCAGCAGTCCTGTGGAGCCGAAGAAGGAGGGCGAGTGCTCCACCATGTACTCCTCCCTCCCCACGAGTGACGCTCTGGAGAATGGAGGGCAAACACAGGTGAGGAGCTGCAGCATACATGCTGGTTGCCATAGGACAAACCTGGCAACCCTCACAAGTGACATCACTCTGTAGGAGTTTAATGGTACAACTGTTGCTGCTGCTGCTGCTGCTGCTGCTGCTGCTGCTGCTGCGTTCTTTCTCACATCTTCACTTTTTAACAGTTGGACACAAAGCAGTTGTTAATTCCACTGCTGCAGATTTTTTATTAACAACCAAATATGGTCATAAAAACCCTGCAGCAGCAGCAGTTATTTCCTTGTTCACTCACTTATTTCTGTGAATATCTTAACTTTGAGCCTCTCCTTATATCAAGACAGGATTCTTTAATTTTTCAAGTGAATAATATTCAGTTAATAAGATGTGAAAACTTAATAACGAGCCGTTTTCCCCCCTCTGTATTTAAACATTAAAATAACCAACGTAATCATCAATAATCAGCAGTGAGTCGACTGAGCTCTTCGTTCACAGCAGCGTTCCCACAGACCTCCGTTGTCATCAGTGGCTCTAATTGTCTTCCTGTGCAACATTAGTGCCAGTGTAGAAGACGGTCTCTATGGAAACATCAGAGGCTTCTTCTCCCACACCTCTTTATTACGGTGTGTGTGTGTGTGTGTGTGAATACATCGGCAGTAATGTTTCAGTTTTCATTGTCTCGATGAGACGGTACAAACAGAACAAACAGATTTCCAATGTTTGTGCACGTCGTCCGTCCTTTAAATTCCTCCCTCCCCGACGACACTGTCTGAATTCTGAAGAGGTTTCTGTTTGACGGCAGAGTTGTTGTTGTTGTTTCCCCCCCCCTCCACTCAGGTCTCGTCATCTTTGACGGCTGCGACTGGAGTCTGTCAAACGTGCAGCCGTGGAGTGAATCCATTTTTTATTAATCAATTGTCACATCTGTGTGTTTTTGACAGATGATCAGGGGGAGGATCTGTCACCCAAACAAACCTGACACGTTCAACCAGCTGTGGACGGTGGAGGAACAGGTGGGTCTCTGACTTTGACGGGACGTCATCGGGGCCTGACGTGGATATGAAACAAAAGTCTTTCTGTTATTTAAAACAGCATTTTGTAGAGTTTTGATTTTTACTGGCGCTCCGCCTGTCTTCTCCAGAAAAAACTGGAACAGCTTCTCGTCAAGTTCCCTCCGGAGGAAATTGAGTCCAGAAGGTGGCAGAAGATAGCTGATGAGCTGGGGAATCGAACAGCCAAACAGGTGAGAGAGAGAGAGAGAGAGCATCAAGGTGAACTGAGTTAATGGACCGAAGTGACGGCGTGCTGCCGGCCGTCTGTGAACCGTCAGTTGGTCACAACACAACAGACTGCACTGGTGCTGTGAGGCAAAGGTTGGAAAATAACTGAAACCCTCAGCACGCCCTGTATGAGTGTGTGTGTGTGTGTGTGTGTGTGAGAGACCTCAATTACTGGAAGCAGCTGCTCCTCCACCGAAAAATCATTAACGCAGTGGTTTTCCTGTTACATCCTTCCAGGTTGCCAGTCGGGTTCAAAAGTACTTCATCAAACTGACAAAGGCTGGAATCCCTGTTCCTGGACGGACGCCCAACCTGTGCATGTACACCAAGAAGGTAAGACCGCCGACGGGTGATGGGTGAAGGGTCAACATAAAGGTCAACATGTGTCCTGCTCCAAACCTGTGACATCGCCCTTTAATACCGTGGGACACAAAATAATGTCAGCGTCGAATCACTCTGAGATTCTTGGTCTGGTTGTGTGGTTGTTACAGTCAGATAAATAACTGAGTGAACCCCCATCAGTACCAGTGTCTGTAGCATCAGTACTTGATTCATGGCCAGACACCAGATCCTGAGGAACCTGAGACCATTTGTTACCGACAATGACCTCCAGCTCACTTTTATTCCTGGATCTGTGCTCCACATCCGTCTTCTTCGATCCTCGATGTTGATTTTCCTCCCGGGGTTCAAGTCAGGCGTCGGTGACTCCTGAATCTTTCAGGACTTTTTGGGTCTTGTTGTTGTCACTGACCAGTCTGAACGTCGTCTTGTTTTTAAATGTAAATGACAAATGGAGGAATCTGTGTTCAAACGGTGAGAAACTCTTATGTGGAACTGGCTTTTTGGTTCATCTCCAGGTCAGTTTGATTTAGATTTAGATTTGATTATGAGGTCAGATCCTGGTCCAGTCCAAACATCGGAGCGTGCTGCAGAGGTCAGCTGACCTGTGGTTTCTTACATCTCCAGGACTCTTTACCTGTATGTCTGTGTGTTCGCTGATGTTCCAGCACCGATGTCTCGTGTCTCTGTCCTCCAGGCTTCCAACAAGAGACAGCACCACCTGAACAAGCACCTGTACCGACCCTCCACCTTCATGACCTCCTACGATCCTCCCGTCTTCATGGAGGACGATGAAGAGCGCTCGGCGTACTACGGCAGCCTGCAGGACCACACAGCTGACGACTCGGTCGGTCCGCCATCGTATCGTGTTTTTTCTTTTTTAGTTTCTTAAAAATTTCCTCAGAAAAAAAAAATCAAACAATCAAACTTTTACTTTAGTTCAATCAAATTTGTTCTAAACCAAAAAAATACCTGAAGTAAATCAAAAGGAAATAATGAACAACAAGGTTTTATTTTAATAAGGATTTCAGGTTCTTCTCCTCGTCGCCCACCATGGTGTTGGCTCCACTTTTATGAACTCTGCTCTGTTTGAGCTGCACAAACTCACCCTTATCAAAGTGCTGACACCCCCCGCCCCTCCCCCCTCCTGTGATAGCAGTAACCTTTAAGGAGAAACCAGTTCACTGCCTCCTGGTGAGAACATTGGCTGCGGCACATTAACAGAATATGTGACGCCGCCAGCGTGAAGGAAAAGTCACAGCGACCAGATCTGTGTCAGCAGATGAAGATCATCATCTGATTGGACAGATGTTTCTGTCTCCTGTCTTGATACCAATCACTGATCTTCCTTGTTTCTCCTCTTCCTCCTCCTCTTCCTCGTCTGTCTGTCTGTTTCTGGACTGCAGGATGACGAAGGTGTACCTGTGGAGCTGAGAAGTTTGCCAGAATACAAAGAGCTGGTGGAGCTGAAGCGGTTGAAAAAGCAGAAGCTCCAGGAGATGCAGGAGGACAAGGCTGCCGTTCGACACGTGGGCTTCAAGGTGAAGACGCAGCTCAGTCTCTGCACTCGTGGGAAAGACCAGAAGAAATGATTGATAGTTGTTTGGTTTTATTTTTGGACGATAGATTTAACATGTGGTGTAGAAGCTGATGTTTAGTTCAGACCACGAGACCAAGACGGGTCCGTGAACCAGGAGTTGATTAAACCCCTTGTTGTTTGTTTTGTTAAAAGTCAGAGGAAATACAATACTTACCTACAGTCGAAGGCATCGAGGTGTTTTTAATGTGTGTGTGTGTGTGTGTGTTTCCTTGTGTGCAGTGTGACGTCTGTGGGATGGAGCCCATCCAGGGAGTGCGGTGGCACTGTCTGGACTGCCCCCCAGAAAACGCTGTGGACTTCTGCTCCAACTGCTCCGACTGGTGAGTTCACCCACCTCCGTCCTCGCCATCAGGGACGGACCAATCACGTCACCAGTTTTCACTTCGTCCTTTCTTCCTCAGATATTCACATTAGTGTTCACCACAGAAGTGTTACTGAAAAAGGACTTCATTAAAATAATATACAATTTTAATTCTCATTTCTTTTGTCGTTTCCTGGTTTTCCGTCAGTTTGTTCAAGACAGAGACCCACAAACCCAACCATCACCTGGAGCCTGTGAACCAGGCAGACAGCTTCCTGGACAGAGACTACTGCCTGCCTCAGAGCGCCGGCTACAACTACCTGGACCCTAATTACTACCCGGCCAACAGATGACAGGGGCCCGTGCGGCCCTGTAGCTCCAGGCTCCCACAGACCACTCTGTGCATGGCTCCATCCTCCAAGTCCAAGAAATCAGCTCAACCCACCGCCAGGTAGGAAAGCCAGCAAGCAGGCAGGCAACCAGCCGGGGCCTGAGAGCAGACCACAGCCCTGCTGCTGCTGCTGCTGCTGGTGATGATGATGATGATGATAATCATGGGGGAGGGGGGGTTGTTGGTTAACTGGCCTCCCTGACTCAAGCATCGGGCGGCCATGTTGGTTCCTTAAAGAATTAAGGCGCCACGCTTCACTTCAGCCAGGTTAATCAGTGGATCTGTGGTTTAAAACAACAAAACACTATTTAAAAGAAAAACAAACGAGAAAAAACGAGACTCACACACACACACACACACACCGACATTCCCGAGCTCTGGGACTCCTGGAGGACGACTCCTCCTCTCCTCTCCTCTCCTCTGCTCCTCTGTGTCATCACCCTACATTCACCTCCCTGCTGCTTCAGAACTGGAGACTTGACGATCAGTCTGGTTGAACGGAGACGTGTGGCCCACCAGTTTGTGGTCCACGTGGACTGTGAAGTCATCAACCCAAAAAACACACGGACTGTTTTTAAATGTATGAGTGTGTGTGTGTGTGTGTGTGTGTGTGAGAGAGAGAGTGTGTAAGTGGTCTCTGTACTAAGCAAGAGTGAAACAAATGTTTTAGGTAGACATCTGTAGACTGAGTATTTATGATCCGCAGCTTCCTCCTCCCTGAGAGGCTGCGCCGGGACGGGTCCACATCCAGGAACGTTCTGGAGTGAGTTCCTCTTTAGACAGACCTTTATTTGCTAACAAACAAACAAAAAAACATCTACCACGTCTCAACACCAAGCTGTCTTTACCACCTCCACACAAACGTCACTCTCTTACACACACACACACACACACACACACACATACACACACTGTTGTCACACCAGTTTTCTTTCTCCTCGTCCCTCCATCCACTAAGACGTGAAGCACTACAGCATCCAGGGCAGAGACTAAAGATTCACATCTGTCCTTTGGTTCCTTCTGTTCTCTTCTTTTTGTTCCCATTGATTTACACTGTCGTTCGTTCTGTTGAGTGTCCAAGTATATGGTGAAGAAGTAGCCAGTGCTAGTTGCTGTGTGCCATTTTTAAAACAAAGAAGAAAAAAAAATCCAAAATTGTTACTTGAGGGCCTCAAACCGTCTCCCTCGTCTGCGTGGTGCCATCCACCCACGTCGTCCTCCATCGTTGATCCCGTCATCGCACCTCTAGATCTTTAATTTTGCCGGCCCACACTCTGAAGAGGAAAAATGTCAGTTTAAAAGATTGTATTTTTATTGATCTATTTAAAACAAAAAAAAAGAATAATTGAGGTTGTGGTTGGTGCCTCCACAGTGGAACGACCCACACTTTTATACACATAGATTTTGTTGTGCTTGAGTAGACACCAGTTTGTATGGTTTTTGTTCCCCAAATGCCCCCGACCCCATGTTTTCCCAGCTTCGGTATCTGATGTTCTGTCTGTTCTTATGTAAAAAAATGTAAAAAAAATGCTAGAGGAGAAACGTGGAAATAAAAGTATGTGAAAATAAGGCTTTTCTACATTTGGTTTATCTGTTGTTTTATTGGTGCTACGTTTAATGAAATACTTGCTGTGACTTTTTTCACCCGCAGAGGGCGCCGCCGGATCACATTTCAGGCACATAGTGAACAAACAGACAGACAGACACAGAGAGAGAGAGAGAGAAGTCCTCCACTTAGCAAATGTCACTGTCTTTATTGAGTGTTGAAGACCAGACTGGAACAAGCACTTGTACGATAAGCCTGAAAACAAATGCAGTATATTGTTGTGATACTCAGACGTGCACAGAAAGGCAGTTCAAACATGGACGCTGGTCAGTGCATGCCATCTCGCTGTGAACGGACGCTGGCGTTTTTTTTTTTTTACTTTTTACTTTCCGTCCTGGTGGCTCACAGTCACAACAGGAGATGCTAATTATTCAGCCTCAGTCTGACAAGTTGGCAGCTTCACTGTACAGATAAAATATATGGCAGGTTGAAGGAAGCAGGAGAGAGAGAGAGAGAGAGAGAGATGGAGGAAGCTGCTGCAGAGTGTGACCAATCAGAGAGAGCGATAGAGAGAGAGAGATTTAACTGAGTGATGAAGGGATCTTAAAACATCAGGTGAGGCATGCATATCACTGAAGGTCAAACAGGGTCGTGTCTGGTGGAGGAGGTGACGAGTGGGACTCATAGACGGTGTATAAGAACATGACGTAGCTACGAGGTTCAGCTCAAAGCACTGGTTTAGACCATGAATTAAAGATGAACGTTCTTTATGGTTGTTTATGAAGCGTCGAAGCGTTTTAAACTCTAAGGTAAAGATAGGTTCTATCTTCTGTAAACAGTTCTAACTGCCTCAGATCTACCTGCAGCACCTGGCTCCATCTCATATACAGAATCTATGGTTTGAGTTTCCTTTATAGTGAAGCAGCAGAGAAGAGAGAGAGAGAGAAGAAAATATGAGAGACAGAATCCTCGATGAGCTCAAAAGTTTGGCATGAATCGTGTTTGACTGTTGGTAGATTTTCAGAAGATGGAACTGGACTCCAGGGCCTGGAGGATCTGGGTGAAGACCTCGTCTGGTGAACCTTCAGCATCGATCTGAAGACAGAGAGAGAGTGAGAGAGAGAGACATTTAATCTAATAACCATCCCAGCACCTTTGAGCTGCACCATGTGACATTGTTACCGTGTGCAGGAGCCTCTTGCGTTGATAGTAGGCCGCCACCTCCTGGCTGTTGTCGGTGAAACTCTCTAGCGTCCTGTGTGTGGCGCTGTCTCTGTCTGTGCTGGACCTGCGTCTGCACTGAAGACGAGTGGACAGGGTTTTGGGCGAGCAGCTCAGCAGGAGAACCGCACTGGGATCAGCCACCTGAACAACACAGACCAGAGGAACCGATGGAACTGAACCTCTACTCCTTCACAGTCAGAGCGTGTGTGTGTGACTGTGTGACTGTCGTCTGGCAGTCAACCTCAGTCTTACGTCCGGTCCTGTCGGTGTCGTGCACTGACCTTGGCTTCGTACTCCTCCGCCTGCAGCAGGTCTCTGGGGAAGCTACTGATGACCAGACCTCTCCCCGGCCTCTGGTGGACGGACGCTGCCACAGCATCACCAAGAAGCTCCAGGAGTGTGTCCTAAATGAAACACACACACCTTTACTGTTCCAGAAGCACTCAGGAAAAACACGCGTCTCTTGTCATATTTAGGAATGTTGATTCATACGGATTAATCGTGATTAATTGATCAGGATTACAGATTAAGATGAGATTATTCTGTTGTGTATAAAGTGAGATATTTTTGTTCTTTGCTTCAGCGGTTTCCTCGCTGCCTTGTCCATGTGGACAGACCACCAGTCGACGGCTGCTGAGAGATTTCACTTGACAGTGAATGTTAAATTGCACTTCCTGTGTTGCCAGGCAACAGAACAGTAACATTTTTCCAAATCCAACTTTCAGCTCTGTCCGTGTTCACGTCTCTCACGCTCCGGCAGCGTTTCTCTCTCTCTCTACGCTGTTGTTGTTTGTGCACTCAGGTAATCCCAGGGTGGGATTACTCATCAGAGTCCCCCCCCCCCCCCCCCCCCCCCCCCCCCCCCTCAAACCTTCCACACCCCACACACAGACCGACAGCTCAGTGGACGTGACCTGAATGTGCCGAGAGAAGCTGGAACAGCTGAGCTTTGTTTAAAAAACTCCAGAGGGAGTTGAAGTAAATCTGCGTGTGTGAATTGAAGTGTCTTTGGTTTCACTTGGTCAGACTTCAAAACATCCAGAGTCTAATTGTACCAAACTTTGAAACTTGGCAGAAACGGTGTTTGAACCAGTTAGCAGAAACTGTGTGTAGATCATTGGCAAACTAAGACCTGATGCTGCCCGTTCATCTTCTTGCTGTAAGGCAGAGGCTTTAACCGCCCTCCCACTGTGTGGTCGTGGTCTGACATTAGCTCATTGTTTTTTTTCTCGTTCACCTCCAACAAAGAATACGCTGCAGGCTGAGAGTTATTTCCTCATTTTTCACGAAATGTCATTAGAGCCAGTGGAAAGGTCAAAGGTCGGCGGCTGAGTCTGGTTTTTTGATTTATTTCAAGTGAAACCAGAGTGACTCCAGATCTGATCAGAGCAGCAGCCGTGGGTCTGTTCCTCTTACAGTCGACATGTGAGACCGAGGAACGTCAGCGCTAAGACTGATGAGGTCACAGCGACCTACAGGATGTACTTCCTGTGTCAGCTCAGGCCCCCTGACTCTGGATCAGATTCTTCCCACAGTCACTCCAGTTAAACTCCATCCACACGGATCATAAGAATAGTCTTGTTTTTCAAGTCAGTCAAGTCGGGACACGACCGCCGCAGGAACCAGGACGTTTGTTTACTCTCAAAGAGCTGATCCCCGGTTCAGGGAGTTCTTACTGATTTTTATCGACTCGTCATGTCTGCTGTGTGACAACCTCTGGGTGACTGGTAATAACTTACAACCAATCACAAAATATCCTCTGATAGAAAGTAATATATATATACACATATAAAAGCAGATTCCTTCAGTGTCTGTCTGTGTATATATGTGTATATAATCTGTATAATATATGATATATTTATAAATGTGTGTCTGTGACAAAGACCGGCTGCAGGACATTATGATCTTTAAAGGTTTAAACCTGTAAATGAGTCAAAAAGTCACAGAAACACAGACCAGTTCTTAATTAACATTTAAAAACCGTGAGTTCCTGTCAGAGAAACATCAGAACTGCCCTTTAAAATTAAAAAAAAAAAAAAAAAAACCCTGTATTTTTTAAGTGTGCTGCACTGACCCTGGGCAGCTGCTCTCCTCCCTCCAGCATTTCCCGTAGGTGGCGCCCTCGTTCACTTTGCGACTGCAGCTCGTTACACAGCAAATCACCCAAAGTCATGTGACGTAGGCCGAACCTCTCCTCCATCCGCTGACACTGGAGCGACTTCCCTGACCCTGGACCCCCTGGAAACACACACACACACAGCATTTCTACTGTTACACCTCGTGGTCGTGTTGACGCTTCTGTTTGTTAGACCTCGTGGTCGTGTTGACGCTTCTGTTCAGTGACAGGAACATGAGTGACGTCAGGAAGACTTCAGTGTCGATGACCAGTTGGAACTCACAAATTCTATTTTTTAATTCGCTGTTTGAGGAGCGTGAGTGAAACAAACCAGTGAGTCTGATGTGAGTGGGGGAGGACGGGGGAGAGGATGGGAGTCAGGCTGTTGGAGTGGAATTAGTGATGAGGGAAGAATTAAAGTGATATGAAACAGAGCGGCTGCAGGTTCTGTTGGTTTGGAGGAGTCGGATGTTCATTATATTTGTAATTGCTGTTAGTTCCCTGTTGTGTTTATAAAACCTGATGGTGAGATGATGGAGTGATCATCACAAAAACACATTCAAGTTTGACTGTAGTTTGGTGTTGGGGAGAATTATCTATGAACCCTAACCCTTATGATTTATTCATTATCAGTGTGAACGGTGCTTTATTTTGAAAAATGATTCTAATTTTCTTCCTCATATTTGTGTCTAACATTTTATTTCTAAAGCCTTGTCCTGCTAATGTATCGTGTGCTGTGAATACTGTACGTAGTATCCACGTGTAATTGTTCAAAGTATTCGTTCTGGTTCTGGTTCTGGTCCTAGATTTACCCTGAGGTTCCAGCCTGGAGCTGTGAAACACTCAGTCTTCATCAGTATTCTGCTGCTCTCTGCTGCTCTCTGCCCGTCTAAAAAAACACACGTCCTCATTACCATTTCCCTCAGAGAGCACAGACTAACGGAGCGGCGGTCTCACCGGGAGACGACCGTGAAGTTAGAGAAAAAAAAAAGGCAGGGGAAGGAGAAGTGAAAGAATCACTTGATATGAAAACATCCTCTTCACCTCCTCAAATAATGACCTGGTGTTCTGACGGAGGAGCAGAGAAACTCATTAAATCATCACAGACGCAGTACCTCTAACAACCACAGCACGGAGTTTACAGCCTCTTTTGTAGAAAATGAAACAATTTTTTTTAGCTGTAATAGAAAATAATTACTTTAACTTTAACAGTTCCAACTGTTTTGGTTCCTGCTGTTGTCAGTACTATTGTCAGTACTGTTGTCGGTACTGTTGTCAGTACTGTTGTTGGTACTGTTGTCGGTACTGTTGTCGGTACTGTTGTTGGTACTGTTGTCAGTGCTGTTGTTGGTACTGTTGTCAGTACTGTTGTCGGTACTGTTGTCAGTACTGTGAACCTTCTAATGGCACAGCTACAGTAGCTCTAATAGTACTGCAGTACTGTTCACTCTGATAGTACTGCAGTACTGTTCACTCTGATAGTACTGCAGTACTGTTCACTCTGAAGACGCGGCTGAGACAGGACACGTTCAGACTGTGTCGTCCAGACAGAATCTGTCACTCACTTTAGGACGGGTCTGACAGGAGACGACCCCCACCTGTCCACCAGGGGTCAGGAGGACACGTCTCTGATCTGACCGTGTTCACAGTCTTGGTGATTTGACTTGATTATTCAGGGAGTTTTAGAGAATCTGTCTCCAGGCTGGAGAATGAGTCTGGACCTGACAGGAGGTGATTATATGGAAAGTAAAAACAAAAAAGATAATGACAATAATGAGACTTAAATGGTTTTAATGGACCTGCAGTCCAGGAGAAAACCATGATCTAAAAACACATTCACTCTAAGAACAACTCTGACATTGTCTCTAAAGACGGGAGGACGTGAAAAGTCACACGTTTTTCAAGTGACTTTCTTTTTTTTTTACTTCACTCAGTCCCAGCCTCACAGACGTCTGTGGACGACGTGTCCTCAAAAACATTGACTTTTCACTTGTGTATCTGTGTGTGTAAAACTCGGGGCTGCTTTAATTGTACGTTCTGCAGCTGCTCATTACTGTGATGAGTGTGAAGTGTCGTGTGTGTGTGTGTGTGTTACGCACCAAGCACAAAGATGACCTTTGGTTTCCTGTGTTCTGTGCAAAAACCTGTCAGAAATAAAGACAATAAATAAAGAGATTATCCTGAGCAGCTGATTGGCTCTCACTGAGATAATACTACTGCACAGTACATGTACAGTACATGAGCACACACACACACGGACACAGAAAAGTACTTGTTGAGTATTTGCAGATAGAAATGACCTTGAAGAAAATCTATTTTAAAAATGAACTCTGAAGACGTTCAGTCATAAAAACCCAGACACACAACAGGAACCAGTCATGTAACGTCTGGTAGTTCTTTCCTTCTTCTGCTCTCCTTCTTACTTCCTCCTTGTCCTTTACCCATGAGATAACATCAGATCTGACAGTCTGCAGAAAATGGCTTCCACTGCTGTTATGCAATCAGTGCAACACACACACAGACACACACAGACACACACGACAAAGACAGAGCTCCAGCTTTATGAAGGGACGTCGGTAAAATCCTGTCGTTCCAGTGAAACAAACGGTCGATGCTGAGATGAACCTGATGAACCTGAACTCACCTTCTGCTGCTCCTTCAGCGAAGCCCACCTCCTCCTCCTCCTCTTCATCATCCAGCTGTGAAGACACCACAGAGTCTCGTTAGTTACCGTAAAACTTTTTAAAAAGTGCAGCATCTTTGCGCGTGGATCAGTTTAATTCTCTTTAACACTGGGATTTGGAAGAATCTTTAAAGCCATCTGGTCTGAGCAGGAAGGAGTGGATCAGCCAGTCAAAGATTTCATCTACAAACATGTCTGAGTCAAACTGGAGCAGAAAGAAAATCTGCTTCAGGACAAAATCACGACATCTGTTTCTCCCTGCGGTTTCCCACTGACCCAGTCCTAAATTATTTCCCAGGTGTCATTGCTCCAGGCCTCTGTGGTTCATCTCCTCAGGTCTGAAGATTATTTTACATCTGGTCACAGATGGAAATTATTAAAACTTCATTTCATAAAACTCTAACTTAATTTTTAGAGGATTTTTAAAGCTGTTGACAGCAGAGACCTTTTTTGCGCCCCCCACTGGTGAAATAACTCTTACGTTTTTCTCCAATTACTTTCATGTATTAATTAAAATGAAAATCATTTTTTTCAGTTATCCTGCATTTTTCTTTTTTTGCTCACGTCGACATGTTCTCTGCCCAATCACCAGCGTCCATGTTAAAGATGTGCAGATTTCCCTAGCCCTCCTTTAACCTCACAGACTTCTGCAGTGGATTCAGTTCAAACTCTCCGTCAACTCAAACTAATGACAGACAGAAATCCAGTGGGAGTGTGAAGGTGACGCAGCAGGAGGTCTTTCAACCCCACCACACTGAGCCGACACAGACTGAAACGACGGAAGGGTTGACGTCGGAGCTCAGAGTTAGAACTGGCTGGAGCTCTGTGGGCCAATCACAGCCTCCGATAGAACTGACAGGTTAAAGACGGCGTCTTTAATGAACTGTTAATGTTGTTAACTGAACTACTGAATATTTTACTGGCCTGAGCCAACATTTGAGTCTCTGCGTCATTGATCTAAAGCTTCACCCTTGAAGTCATTGAAGTATTCCAGGCTCAGACCTGAGTGACTCTGCAGGTGTTTGAAGTTCCAAAAATAAGACATGGATACCAGGTGAGAAGTGCAGTTTCCCCTGGTGCTGATCACACAATCACGCTCCCTCACTGCCAGCAGGTGGGAGTCACGGTCCTCTTACCTCGCTGTACTTGTAGGCGACGTCTGCCAGAGCGCTGGTTTCTCCCAGGAGACTGAGGTCCAACTCACTGGGACCTGAGGACCAGAAACAAGGAGAACCATCGTCAGACGTCAGAGTGAATCTGTTCAACTGGTTTCCCACTGAGACTCCGCTGTGACTCATGTCTGTGTTGGAGGAAAATCCTGCTCTTTATCCCTGAGAGTTTCTCTGTGGTTCTAAATTTAAGGAACTATTGAAATTTGGAGCCCCTGAAAAGGTCCACATCCCTCACTTTTTATCCACTCACTGGTGGACAAACATCTCCACATCTTCCCAGATTTGAATCAGAACGTCCCTGATCGCTGCCCCCTGCTGCTCCGTCACCGACATCGTCATGTTCGTCACGGTCCTTGTTCATCATGTTTGTCAGTTTTCCTAATCTCACCAAAGCCCAGTTCATCTTCCATCTTTGATATTGGTCCAAACAAAGCGTGTTTTGATCAAATGTTTTATTTGATTTTATTTCAAACCCAGACGTGTGGATGTGTTGATCAAAGACTCAGCCTAACCTTTTTGTTTCTGTGAATCTGTGAACCAAGCAGGACTAACTCTTCGACAGCGGTTGCTATGACAACCCTCATGGTAACCAGTCAGAAGCTGCTGGTGAGAAATGTTTTAGGATCATTTCTGCTTTTTTCTCTTTCTTCATGTAAATTATATTTACACCAGACGGTGGCCGGTTAGTGGTGAGTTAGTGGTCGGTTAGTGGTGGGTTAGTGGTGGGATCATGTTGCTTCACAGACAAACAGACTCAGATGAAACTGATACTGTTACTGGAGCAGTTTCTGTGGCTCTGACTGAAAGATTAGAAAAGATTAGAAATATTTGATTAAATTTCCCTTGAAAAGAATCTAAATGCCCTTCAGGGGCAGAAAGGCTGACATCTAAAAAAAAGAATTAAATTTCTTCTCCTGGTTTTTACTGTGGATCTGGATAGAGAATCCACTGAGCCTTTACTACATCACCTGCTGTCGGTTCTTTGGAGGAAAACAGCTTGTTGTCCAAAGTCATGCTGATGTCACAGAAAACCTCCTCCTCGTCTCGGTCGGCGTCCAACTGGAAAAAAAAAAAACACAACATGTTAAATGAAATCCAACTGAAAAAAAAACAAAAAAAACACAACATGTTAAATGAAGTTGTTGCTGCTTTTGTCTTACAGTCAAAAGGTGACTGGTCTTTCTGTCCATGGTCCAGTGGTCCTACTGTTGGACCATGGACAGAGTCTTGTGAAGTATTCATGGTCTCACACTGCCGTAGTGATGTGGTCCTGGACCCAAACCCAGTTGACAGTCATGATGTGACTTTGTGAAGATGAATTATGTGGATGGGAGACGACATTTGCGTCACATGACCAACACACTAAGTCTCCATGTCATTAAAACCAGGACGAAGTCAAAGGTCAAAATCATTAGTTCCACAGAGACGCCGACACTGACTCAGAAATCCACCAGGAATAAAATTAACTCTTTGAAGGAAACCAAATGTCATGACCTTAACCTCAAACATGACGAGTATTACAGCCGTGCGTGGTTAGATTTAAGGTGCTGTGACACTGGTGTTGAGGCTGGTTAGAAGATCAAACACAGAGGAACCAGCTCTGGTCTGTGGAGCTTCAACACGCAGCAGGACGTTTACTCACACGGCGCTACATTAGTTATCGTCCACCGCTCGCTGCCAGACGTCAGCCGCGTTCTGCATTTATATTGTTCACAAATGGAGCGTGAAGTGAATGAAGAGGGAAGTGATTAAAGTGGACTCCTCTTCATCGTCCTCCTCTTCTCACCACAGCTGATGGCGAGCATACCAGGGAGGACGAGGAGGAGGAAGACGGACTGCAGCTGATTGTGCTCTGTCTTGACTGTGTGTCAAAAATTCCACTAAATCTTTTAAAATTTGTATAAAAAGCCTTTCTTTAAGGGCGGAGGTGTACAGCCCCGCGAGTCAGGGCTCTGTAGAGCACCGATTACCAAAGAGAGTGACATCATGACCTCCAGTAAATCCTTTGAATTACCAAAGAGAGCGACATCATGACCTCCAGTAAATCCTTTGCTGCTGGTTGTCATTGACCTCTGACTGGAACTGCAGTAGAAGAATCTGAGATGAGGTGAAGAATTCTCCCATCAGACACTGCATCAGTGGAAATGTCTTCCTCCTCCAGCAGGGGGCCCTTGTCACATCCCATTTATTCTCATAAGAGTCTTCAGAGGCTGCATGAAGAACTCTTCAATGTCACTGAAGGATCCTTCACATGTACTACAGTGTACTACAACAGTGAATACGTTAAATAACGTATGAGTTCAGCTGCTTCATGTTGCATTCTTTAGTCCTTATTATCGGCTCATTTAGCTTCAGCTATAGCACAGAAACTAAAGGTTAGCCTGTTATCAGAACTAGAGTGAAACAAACAAACAAAAAGGTTTCAGAAAAACCTGAAACTCAGTCAACAGTTCATTAGCAAAACTACACAGTAGCTAAGGAAAACGCCGAAGGAAAAACAGAACCCAACCTCTCAAATAGGTTTATCACTCAAAAACAAACAAACAAAAAAAACTACCTCAGCTTTAAATTCATCCAATATTTGTCATTTTCTGACACCAAGTCAGCTGTTTGTGCCTGTGTCTCATTTATATTCCACGACTAATGAAGGAATAACGATCCCCAGGAGAGAGAGCGGAGACACGTGCAGGAAGTGCGGTGTGTGTGTGTGTGTGTGTGTGTGTGTGAGACATTGTTTGTACCTGTGTGTTATCAGTACATGTGGAGCTGAAGTCTCTGAGGGAACCTTTAATTAGAGCGCTCCTCTTTTTTTTCTTCTTCTAGAACGACAACATTACTTTAATCTGGGCCACAACAAACTCTTCTGTCATCTCACGTCTCAGATCTCTGTGTCCACACGTCTCTGGTTTCCTCCGTCAAAGAACAACCGTTTGTGTTGTCGTCACTTTTTTACAGAGAAAATTAAAAAAAAGAAAAATGCAGACGACGTCTGTGTGTGTGTGTGTGTCCACAGTCCTGCCATTCCAAGTCAACGTTGAGACGCGGTGCAGCAGTGACTCATTGCGGCTGCTCTTTTCCACCGTCGTGTCTTTCAATATTAGATGTGACATTTGAAATGAAGGCAGAATGTTCGCTCTCACGAGTCGCAGCAATTAGGCCTCAGTGTTTACTGCAGCATTCATTAATGAGGGAGTATTGAGGAGAAAATTACTGAAGCATGAGGGATGTGTGTGTGTGTGTGTGTGTGTGTCTAATCAGAATGTAATTTAAAATGTAATAAGTGTCAGAGATGACCTGGTCAGTCCATGCATTTGTCCAGTGATAAACAGCTGTTTGTTTAAGACAGTGAAGATCAGGAATATCATCTTCATCATCATCGTCGTCTTCATCATCGTCTCCGTCTCTGTAAACAACCTGCTGCTCACCCCCCCCCCGCTGCTGAGACGACGCAGCTCTGAGACTCAGACAAATCAATAACCATCACAAATGGAGAGTCCGTCCACTTCCTATTGAACCAATGCCACCCCCTCCATTAACACCCCCCCACATAACCCCCCTCCACACAAACAGGGTAACCAGATGCTGCTCTGTGATCTCTGTGGTCCAATCACCACGGCTCTCTATTCTCCCACCATTCCCTGTGTTTACATCCAGAATAATCAGCATCTGAAACTGATGACATTTGTTCCACGCTCCGTGTCATCACTGACGTTCTAACGCCGTCGTTCTGCACGAGGAGCGTTTGTTGGCAAAAATGAATCTCTTCCAAATCTTAATCTGAAATAATCCCCGCTGACCCAGTGATCCACCTACCGTGACAATGAGGCCTCTCTCCTGGAAGTACTGGACCAGAGGAATGGTGTTCTGTTTGAAGTTGGTCAGACGGCGTTCGATGGCCTTGGGGTTGTCGTCCGGTCGCCCCTGCTGCTCCGCCCGCTTCTGCAGCCGCTCCTTCAGACGGTGGCTGGTGCAGGCCAGAAACATGACCAGGTCAGGAGTGCAGATCTGAAAAGATGAGGGGGAAACAGACAGTGTTTGGATGTTTTCATCACATGACCTGAGCTGACCACTCAGCTGGTGCAGGGTCACTGGCAATTTTCAAACTTTTGGACTCGGGTCACAGTGTTAGATTTGAATTAACTCCAGGACAAAGTGGGGTCTGGTGAGAGGCTTTGAAAAGATCAGTGTCTGTTCAGGTGAGAGTGTGACTCAAACTGAGGATACTGTCCTCACAGCTGCACACCGTGGCTCTTTATTTCAGCCACAATCACAACAAAAACAGAGAACGCACACAATCCCACCTTCAGGGGGAAGACGGGGGAGGGTTCTTCTATTTAGAGACCAGGTGCAGATCCTCACATTCTCTCTCTGTGTGAATCATGACTCATCGTGAGCTCAACACGACCACAACAATCACACAGGTTCACAAAGCAGTTATGAAGTACAACCAGTAAACTGGTAGTTACGAGATGAGGTGAGATGTGTCATCATCTGTAACAACACCAGGGGGAGACAGTGAGACTGAAGTCAAAAGTCTACACTTTTCTTTTCTTCTTCTTGCAGCTTGTGTCATTATGATGAGACAGCGGCCAATCAGAACAGTGATGAAGCTGTGGTCAGTCCTTTGTTTCTAACATGTTGACATCAAGGAACCATAGTATTTCTCATGAAGTAACATCCGTGTACTTTCCCAGCCTGGGTCAACACAGTCCTCGTCCTGGGACCAACCTGTCGTCACGTCACTCCTGACCCAGGAACCAACACTGTCACAGGAGCCACCTGTTTGATCACAGTAACCTAGCTGACAGCTGGCACTGCCCTCAGAGACGCCGCTGCCTGGAAGGAAGCGCCGCAGCGCTTGATTCCCTTTATTAATCCAAACACATGTTCAGTGGTGGACGGACAAACACACTGTGACTGGACAGGACAAAACGGACACAGCTAATATCCTGTTACTGCTGTTCTACCAACAAAGGTCGTTGAGGAATAAAAGAGGTTAAAAAATGTCACATCATTTTGGGAATTAAACTCAGACTTCTGTTTCCAATTCGACTTTTCCTCCAACAACTTAGAAAACTCTCTATTTCGATGTTGAAGTACTTCGAGTACGGCCCAAAGCAGGAGAACATGTCGGTATGTAACGATGATTGAAGTCTTTGAAGTCAAATTTATCAGTCATCATCTTGTGACGAACATCGTTGTTGGGAGTCAGACTCATTTATTCCTTCTTTACTTTTAAAAGTCACCTTGACATTTTTTTTCCCTCCACGATTTGACGTCATCTCAGGCGAAAAGAGAGCAGATGTAACGATGTAACCGGCTGCTTTGGCAGCGTCCACGTTCTCCAGCCTGCAGGAATGTCACAGCAGGGGGCAGATGAAACGGCGCGCACTTGAAATGTGCAGTTAATTAAGTCTTAAATCAACAAAGAAGAAAGTTGAAAGTCTCTCCTTCTGATGTCAGAGAACAGATTCCCATGATGCTCAGCTCCGCAGCTCTCTCGTCGGCGCAGTGATGGATGATTATTTTCTCGGCACCTTGACAGTTTGATGGAGCGAACCGATCAATGGCCGACCCGTATCGCCTCACGACCCGTATCACCATCAATCTGGTTGATGTATCGGCCTGGACGACCCGTTCATCATCATCATCTTCATCATCATCATCCAGTTAATGATATGTCACAGTTACACAGTAAATACTGCTCGAATATTCAGAGAAAACATGACAAGATTTTCTAACCATGGAACATTAATAGACCCAGTACTCTGTTTGAGGAAACTCCGATATTCACATACTTCATGTTGTGTACCGTCCTTCCCAAGTAATTTATTGTAGGCTACAAAAAAGATCTCTGATGTACCAGCTGTGGCAGCTGGGTGGCGTCATTGCATCTGGTGCCAAATAATAGATGCAGATAATCTGGTTTATCAAGGCTGGAGGATACAAGGAAATGAAATGTAAATATTACACCTTCCAGCGGTATTGTTGTCCGCACAACGACCGCTGTGTGAGTGGCAGCTTCTGATTGGTCGAACCTTCCCACTGTTTTGTCCTGTGTTTTCTCCACAGTCGCACAGCAGACACTTGTGTTACATGTTTGAAGTTAATTTAATTGTAAATCCCGGGGCTGCGGCCTCTGTGCTCTGCACTCTCAGCCAATCAGCACGGCTCAGGGCGAGCTGTGACACAGCGGTTGCCGGGACACAATTATGAAGGACTTATGCATACATGCTTTATCAATGCTGTTCCATCTCAACCCTGGAGCCCCTGTTTATCCCCCACTGTGACCTGGTAACTGACAGAGCTCTTCAGCTCACTTTGTTGTTCTGAATTATTGAAACAAGATTTGAACGAGACATTTGTGACACTTTGGGGAAATAACGTAGAAACGACTGCTTTGTTCCCAAACGCTAAGTAAAAATGTGAGTTAATCAGTGACTAAAGTTGGTGTAATCACACTGAATTTGATGAAGCGGCTGGGAGTGGTGATTTCAGAACTCAGTAATAAATGAATCTTTTTTCATCCATTCGTGCAGTAGCACAAGACTCTAATGAAAGTGTTTCAAACCTTGAACTTTATTTAAATCTCTGAGATGAGCCGGAGAGGTCTAACCCAGCGGTCCACGTCTACTGCACCTCCACACACAGAGGAGTGTCATGACTCTGTATGAACATTTGGAAATGAAGATTCACTAACACTGTATTAGTCCAAATCACACTCTGATGACTACTGCTGTCTAAGACTGCAGGGAAATCATGGTAGATGAGGACGGGAGGGGCAGGAGGAGGGGGGTGGAAGAGGGAGTTGTTGGTCAAGACAAACTTTGAATTGAACTGAATGTCAAAAGACTCTTAAAAGTCAAAGCGACACTGAAATATCAACAGAGAAAATGTCAACAGAGGATGCCGTGGAACTCCCCCAGTCCCTCCTGTTTGCAGAACCACCGATGTGTGAAAATGTTTTGTTAGGTGTTAAATTAATGATTCACAGCTCATCTGTGTTTAAACACTTCTAAACTCTACCCTCTGGTACATGAAGAGTCTGGAGCTAATCTGAAAATGCTAATCTGAGAGTGGCTCACCTGATCCTCAAAGCTCAAGGCCTGTCCCACATCCCGGGGGAACCCATCTATGACGATACCGTTAGCGTCCGGGATCTTCATAATCCTCTGCTTAATCTCAGTTATTGTCGTCTCCTGTGGAAAAAGAAATTGTGGCCGTGATTCACCGTAAGCGCTCCTTCCTGCTGCTGTTCACTTATTGCTTTTAATCCCCAGTCAGCAACAGAAATAATTTCTGCTGCTGGAAAAAAAAGAAAAAAACCCAAAGTGGTTATTAGATCCAGGGGGAGTCGGATTATTACAAATAAGTCAACCTCAAAAGCTGCTTCCTAAAAATGCAGAGGGTTTGTTTGTTCAAACCTGGGCACTGGAACTCGCTGCAGTACACGCTACTGTGATTAAAACTGCTTTGGTTTAAGGCAATCCAATGAAACAAAGTGAGACGTCACAGACTAATGATTTAATAATGAGGATGAAGAATCTTCA